AGTGTGCATGTATCTGTTCCTATCCTGGCTCTCATCGCTCTAGGATATATACCTAGTAATGGGATTGCTGGGTTAAATGGTATTTCCAATTCCAGCTTTCTAAGGAATCACCATATTGCTTTCCACAGTGGTTGTGTCACTTCACAGTCATACAAGCAGTGTATGAGAGTCCCAATCTCTCCACATCCTGACCAGCTTTGGTTATTTTCTGTCTCATTGAACCTTGCCATCATTGCTGGGGTGAGAAAGTATACAGCCAATTCTTTTTGGTACAGTGACTCTGTATTCCTTCCATCTTCTTTTGATCCTTCCTCCTGCATCATTTAATGTTTTGCCCATTGAATCCTTCAATATTGCAACTTGAGGCTTGAATTTTTCCTTCAGTTTTTTCAGCTTGAGAAATGCTGCGCATGTTCTTCTTGTCTGTCAGTTTGTCATACTGTGGTGGCTTGTGTGTTGCTGGTGAGGATGGAGACTATGCCACTGGTATTTCAAATACCAGTAGGGTAGTGGATAGGTTTCAGTGGAGCGTCCAGCCAAAGATAGACTGGGAAGAAGGATGGGGCCATCCACTTCTGAAAAAACTGGCCACTGAAAACCTTATGAATAGCAGTGAAACACTGTCTGATATATTACTGGAAAACTTATTACGTAGAGTATCATTTTATGTTAAAAATACATATATAGATAATTGTTTAAAAAGATAGTCACCAAAGTAAGTGGATGATGTTTCTAATTTATCTGAAATGAAGATGAAATATTTGTTAGTATAGAGAAAAAAGAAAGTTAGAAAAAGGCCTTCAGTAAATAGCACACATCAATGTGGGTATATGTGTGTGTGTACGCACATGCATGCATTAAGTGTTAATATCTACACTATTTTTGTTAGTAAACACAGCGTAAGCCAGATCATCATCAGAACGTGCAGATATGAGTCAGCTGGAGAGGAGACATGTAGGGTGAGGTCTGGGGTCACTCCTGGAAGACAGAAGAGATCTTTCATGACCGCATGTGGTAACTCTCTCTCTCTCAGTCCCAGTGTCTGATGGTCCATTTCTGTCTCTGAGTTTCTCTCTCATCTTTCTAGTTTCCTCTCAGTCTGTGTCTTCAAATTTCTGAGTCTCTCTGTTCACGCTCTCTCTCTTAATCTCCTCACAATCTCTCCCACAGCTTCTGTCTCTCAGTCTTTCTCTGTCTCTCATTATCTGTGCTCTACTCAGTTTTTTTTTCTCTCTTCCCATCCTTCAGTCTCTGTCTGCCTCTATAAATCTGTTTCTCTCTTTCTCCCTCTCCTTTAACCCACCCCAATGACTGCAGAAGAATTTATGGAATTTGATTCAAGGACAACTCCAACCAGCAACAAATTTATTTCCATATGGAAGTGGGTCCATAGAGTTGAAGGTAAGATGCTAGGAAAGAGGGGCTCGTAGAAGATAGTCTGGGCTTGGTTGTGAGTGCATGAGCCTATTGAGCCATTTGATATACTGGGAAACCCTGGTGTACACCCCAAGGTGGCCTATGGCTGCACAGCCCTCACCCCAACTGACAATTCCTGTCAGGTACCACGTGTTTTGGTACTTGGTGGCATGTGGGCCTCCACTGTCACCCTTGCATGCATCTTTGGTCCCATCTAAGTAGCCAGCGCAGAACATGTTCTCTGTCATCACTGGGGAGTTGGCTACCCTTTGTGTTTGTTCCTTACAGTCCTGGGTCATCAGCCTGGGCACATCTATGATCATGAGCTCCAGGGCTGTGGCGCCCCTGTCGAGAAGCTGGCCCCAGCCGCTCACGGAGGAGAACCGGATGTAGGCCAGTGTTTGCTCAGAGAATGTTTTGTCAGGCAAACAGAGGGGCACTACATAGTCAGTAAAGTTCACTGGTGTCCTCAGGCGGAGCAGGGCAATGTCGTGGTTGGTCTTGCCTTGAATATACTTATCTGGGATTATTATTTGATCAATTTGGCTTTCTTGTTCATCACCATCCTCTTCACTAAGGTCATGCTCACCTGAAAAGAAATCAAGACCATTCAGGTGCATGTATGCTAACATTTGGCAAATCTTCTCCATCTAAAACTCTTGTGTTGCTGTGTCTTTGGCCTCTCAGTTTGCCCTTTTGGATTTAGACTGTAATGGAGTGGGAAATGGTCCATTTTCAGAATCTGCAATGTGTTGGAGGTCTTCTTTTAGAATAAGGACCCTGCACCCGACTAGAATGGAAATTTCAAGCAGAATCTTTTCCCAGATGGTAGCTACCCTTCCTAGGAGATTATAGTACAAATTGGGTTATGTGGGAAGAATGTGAATTGAGGGGTACATCTGGAAAATGAGGTGTTAAAGGTAAATGAGGAAGGGGAATTAAGTTTGGGCAGCTGTGGATAGCAGGAGGAGAGAGGGGTGCTCAAAATTCTCCACAGTTCTTTCCATACAGGGCCTGACCCATCTCAGTTGTCCTCATCTTGTCTTGGGTTTTCTTCTTGCTCATAAACCCACCAGGCAAAGGCCTTGCCCCACAGACAGGCTCCTTTGCGTGGCTGCATTCTTACCAGGTTCGACTCTTGGCACAAGTGACACAGTGTGGACAGAATAGCATCTCTCCCCTCTGTCCTGTTTACATTTTCTTTGGGAGGGAGAAGGAGGCTGAAGGGACAGTGGCCACAGATGTGGAAACCCTATGAGCAGAGAGGTTTGCCCAGAGGGCATATACTTCTTCCTTAAGAGAAGTTAATCTGGTCATGGAAATAAAGAGTTCAATGCCACCCAGAACCTTAACCCTTGTGTCATCTTTCAAGGACTGACTGTTTTGGGGTCAGAAGGAGATGAGGACAATACCTACCCAACACGACTATTAGAGACTTCCAGTTTCTTAGGTTAAATCTGTCGAAACAGTGGGCTGCGGAGACCACCCAGGTGGCATCAAGCAGAGATCCGCCACACAGCAGCATCCCATTCAGCTTTATCACAGCCTGAGCAAGGGCAAACCATATAGTTGAAAGTTACATTATGTTTATTGTTTCCTTGATTTCTCAGCTTTCCATACACCCTTAGGGAATGGCTGTCACTTAAGTGATTCATTTCTGCAATCCTAGCATCTTTGGAGATCTCTTCCTGGGCAAAGTTGTGGACCTTGTCTTCACTTTGCTCCAGTGGATGATTTCACTCTTATCTAGATGAGATAGTTTCAGGGGATTGAAAGTGCAAGTATAATGGGCTGACAATAGAATTAAAAAGCAGTTGCCTGTGAGTTGATTCTGATTCATGGTGACCCCTTGTATGTCAGAGTAGAACTGTGCTACATTGAAAACAATGGCTAATTTTTTAAGAAGTAGATTGCCAGGCCTTTCTTCCAAGGTGCCTCTGGGTAGACTCAAACTACCAACCTTTTGGTTAACAGCTGAGCAAGATAATTGTTAGCACTATCCAGGGACTCCACAGAACTAAGTAGTTATCTCTACATACACCAATACTATACTACCCTTGGATTATTAACTACTGGTGTTGGATTCTACCGTCTACCTCCTTAGTATTTTCGTGTAAATTGAACCCACCAATACACACTAATTTTGCATGCAAAGCATCATACTTCAAAGGGTTGTTGTGATGTATATGAAGCTGTTAGCATAGTTCTTTAATCAGTAGCCCCTCAATAAATGTTTCTTTTTCTTTTCCTCTTCTTTGTCCCCCTAAAAGCAAGGAAGTTTGTTACTAAGGTGGATCCTTGAATGAATCTGGTATGGAATCATTTTTCCCTGAGGATGATTTTCCCACAATGGATGAGGCAAGAGGTACCAATTTTCCAGGCAGGCTGGACAGTGGAAACTGTAAGGCAAGAAGAACTACAGGGAAGAGGCTGTGTCTCCATTGCTGCGGGTGAATGGACCAGGGCCAATAAGCAGTCTTGGTCTGGTTTTCAGGGGGTCATTGTATGCCTGTGGGTGTCATCAGGCCTGCTGATTTGTAGAAGAACCAGGGAGAAAAGAGATTGAAATGGAGTCAAATCAATCTTAGTCAGACCTTATTTTCCCAAATCGGGGACACTAGGACCACATGGGAGCTCTGGTAGGGCATTGCCCAAGGCATTTGACTGCTAACCAGAAGGTTGGTCATTCAAACCCACCAGCCACTCTGCAAAAGGAAGACTGGGCACAATGTAGTGACAGTGGGTGACCCCTCTCCTCTCCAAAAAGTTGAAGTAACTGGGTCCCTCAGAGAAGAAGAATAAAAATGCACACAGTAAAATGTTTACAGGATGGATGAGAAGAGCTCTCTGCCCATGCCCAATTGAAAGCCTGACTCAAGGAGGCTGAAAATCTAAAGCAGAGCTGACTGATTGTAAACCTGGAGCCTCCTCCAATGAGAGGCTCTCACTCACTGCCATCTAGTCAAGTCCGACTCATTGTGACCCCCACTGGGTTTTCAAGGTGGTAAATCTTTACAGAAATAGATTGCTTAGTCTTCCTTTCACAGAGCGGCTGGTAGGTTTGGACTGCCCACCTTCTGGTTAGCAGTCAGATGCCTTAGGCATTATACCACCAGAGCTCCCAAATGAGAGGTGGTGTAGTGTAACTGTTGCAAGCGTGGAGCCGGGCTGCCCAGGTTAAAATCTCAGCTCTGATGAGCTGGGATTACTTAATCTACTTAATCTTCCTGGGCCTCAGTTTCCTCATCTGTAAAATGGGGATGATCGTTGACCCTACCTCATGGGGTTGCTGTGAGGATTGAATGATATTCAGTGAGAGGTTAATTCTTGGCATGGGGCCTGGCATACGTAATAAGTGTTAGGTAAGTAGTGTCTGTTGTGATTACTGCAATGCATGCAGGTAGCACTGTAAATAGTACAAATGCACTTCTGCAGACTCAGTCTCCATATCACAAAGGCTTTGTTAAGGGTGGTTCTGCTCAGTACATCAGCCTCATTTGAATCAAGTCAAGCTTCAGGTTCTGCAGAGCTAAGGAGTAGGTTTTGGAAGTAGCTGTTCCCACTCTATCAGATTCTAAGGCTTGGTTTGTGTAAAAAAAAAAAAAATTACTGTTGACTCAATTCCTATTTGTGGTGAACCCATGTGTTACAGAGTAAAACTGCCTCATAGGGTTTTCTTGGCTGTAATCTTCCTAAAAACATATCACCTGACCTTACTTTGAAGTGCCACTAAACCAAAATCAAATCCACTACCATTGAGTCAATTCCAAGTCATAGTGACCCTAAAGGACAGAGTAGAATTGCCCCATAGGGTTTCCAAGGTTGTAAATCTTTACAGAAACAGACTGCCTCATCTTTCTCCCACAGAGTGGGTGGTGGGTTCAAACCATCTTAATCACTGTGTCACACAAGAGCTCCTTGAGGTGCCATTACAACCAAACCAAACCCACTGCCATCGAGTTGATTCTGACTCATAGTGATCCTCATTGGGTTTCTGAGGCAGTATACCATTATGGAAGTACATTGCCTGGTCTTCCTTCCATGGAGTGACTGGTGCATTTGAACCACCAGCCTTCTGGTTAGCCGTCAAATGCCTTAGGCACTGCACCACCAGAGTTGGGTTCAAAACACCAACTTTAGCACAAACTATTTATACCACCTGGGGCCCTACTGGGCCCAAGGAGCACTGATGAAAGCCCTGCCCTGTGGTCTCCTGACTAGCCGAGAAGTGGGAGGCTTACTCAGGGCAGCTGTGTGAAATACTGGCTCCTTGAGCAGCAGGACCAACCTGACAGGTTAAAGGTAGGGCAGAGCAGGGCGTGATGTCACCAGCCCAACAAGAAAACAGGAGTTTAGAGAAGTTGATCTAGAAGAGACCAAAATAGTTGCCCATATGACTTTTCTGAGGAGACACTAGAGAAATGAAGCTACTTTATGGTTCTGGTTTACTCTACCTCAGGGGTTATGTCAAGGACCAACATGTGATTCTCAGCTTTCCCTTACAAAGTTGTTATACATTTATTTTAAAAAATTCTTAATTTTTAAAACTTGGGGTGCCACCTAAATGAAGTGAGTAATGGTAAGAGTTAAAAAAAAAAAAGGGGTGGTGGCTGTTAGCTGCTGTCATGTCTGCCCCAACTCATGGTGATACCCCCACTTCTCCACTCCCCTGCCAGGGAATGTAGCATTGTGATCCATAGGGTTTTCATTGGCTGATTTTTGGAGTTGATGGTCAGGCCTTTCTTCCTAGTCCCTTTTAGTTTGGAAGCTCCTTTGAAACCTGTTCAGCATCATTTGCAACACAGAAGCCTCCACTGACAGACAGATAGTGCCTGCACATGAGGTACACTGGTCAGGAATGAACCTGGGTCTCCTGCATGGAAGAGAGAGTTCTACCATTGTAGCACTACTGCCTCCCCGCAAAAGGTTACTGATTTAAAATTCAGACCAGCACTTCTCAAATGTTAATGTGCTCTCGTTAAATGCAGATTCTGATTCAGTGGGGCTTAAGATTCTGCATGTTTAAAAGATTCCCAGGATGCCACTACTGCTGTTCCACGGACTACACTCTGAGCAGCAAGCGTTTAGAGTGTCTACAGTAGCTGTGACCCCTTGTGGACTGGACTCATAGACTGACTAACAGAGAGGCACCCTGAAGGAGTTGCCCTGAAGCAGCTACCATTCTGCAGACTCAACTAAATGAAGGAGGCAGGCTCTGGCTGTCTGAAAGGAGAAAACAACTAATTTCCTTTACAACTGGCAGATTTTGTTGTGAAACAAGAAATTTCAGCTTTCAGAGGCAGTGAGGACAATGGGAAGGCCATCAGCTTTAAAGTCAGATAGTCCTGGATTCAAATTCTGCCTCTGTCATTTATTAGTGTGGCCTTAGTTTTCTCAACTGTAAAATGGGAGTAAGAATAGTATCTTGTGGTGAGGTAGTATGAAGATTAAATGAGGTAATATAGACGGAGACCAATGCATTAAAATCATTAAATATTAGCAATGTGGCATAGTGCCTAAGGCATTTGACTGTTAACCAGAAGGCTGGCGGTTCAAACCCACCAGCCACTCCTAGGAAGGAAGATTGGGCAGTGTACTTCCATAGAGATACTGCCTTGGAAACCCAGGGAGAGGTTGCTGTGAGTCAGGACCAACTAGATGGCAGTGAGGTTTGTTTTTTTTTTTTTTTTTTTGGATGTTTAGCACAGGAGTTCTTGTGGCACAGGGGTTAAAGCATTCAGCTGCTAACCAAAAGGTCAGTGGTTTGAACCCACCAACCGCTCCATGGGAGAAAAATAAGGCAGTCTGTTTACATAAAGATTTACAGCATTGAAAACCCTATCAGAGTTCTACTCTGTCTTATAGGATCACTATGAGTAGGAAATGAATCAATGGCAGTGCATTTTTAGTTAGCACATCTTTGTAAAATTCAAAATAAAACCCATTGCCATAGAGCTGGTTCTAACTTATAGCAACCTCATATGATGAAATTTAAGCACTTTGTGTGTGAGTAGGGTTGGCTTGTACCCTGGTGTGTTCTGCAGTTGACCTGTCAATTTTCCCTTTGAAGGCTGTTGATTAGCTCACATTCAAAATTGTTCAGCCACCCCAAGGCCTTAAAGCCAGGAGAAAATCGGGACTGGAAGACATGGTTCTGATCAGCCCCATCAGGCAAGGGGAAACTTACCTGCCATGGACATTGCCCTTTGGGACACAACCTGCCACCCACAATCCGGCCTCGGGAATTGCTGTCATTTCTTTTTTCCAGAACAGGTATTTTTCCGCATGGATATTCAACTGTATAAAACAAAAGTCAGCAAAACACAGGGGTTTATGAAGAAGAATGTGCTTGTGAGTAAATGGGTTAAAAGCGTTTGTACTTTGAGATCTTGAGGCCATGGCTGTTTGCTGACTCTTCTAGCAATAGCTGCTCCTTCCAGGGACTTGTGGGGAGGCCTTCAGGGCTCAAAGTGGTAGAGGGTTAGGTTACATCTGCCTGAGCCCCAAGTAGATGCCATGCATGATCAGGGGATTCTGCTGGGCCTGGCTGACAGCGCTTAGGACTGGGGGAGGCGGTCTTTGGAAGCTGCTAGATGAAGAGATGGGGCAGAGGCTGGTTTGGGAGGAAATAGTTCTACTTCTTGAAACTAAAACCCACTGCCACTGAGTCCATTTTGAATTATAACGACCATATAGGTCAGAGTAGAACTGCCCCATAGGGTTTCCAAGGCTGTAAATCTTTACAGAAGCAGACTGCCTCATCTTTTTTCTGCAGAGCAGCTGGTGGGTTCAAACTGCTGACCTTGCAGTTAGGAGCTGAAGGACACCAGGGCTCCTTTCTTTGAAACTAGATTCTGCTAATTTTTCAAGGGAAAAATGCGTTGCTTTAATTTACTGAAGGGCGAATAATCTTCTATCTAAAGATCAACCGATATTGAGAAGAACTCTAGCACTATTTTTTTTTTTTAACTGTGCTAAGAAACTTCCAGAGTATTTTATAGTGTATATACATACACGGTTGGTGGTTCAATTCCACCAGCCACTCCGCAGAGGGAAGACTGGGCAATCTACTTCCATAAAGATTTACTACCTCGTAAACCCAAAGGGGGTCACTATGAGTGGGAATTGATGCGATGGCCGTGAATGATATACATACACACTCACATATATAAAAGAATACATTTGCTATTTTAACCATTTATTTTTTTAAATTTTTATTGTGATTTGGGTGAAAGTTTTCAGAGAACATTCACTTTCCATACAGCAGCTCACACACTTTGTCTCAGGACATTGACTGCAATTTCCCACAATGCAATAACTCTCCTCCCACTTCCTCCCCATAGTTACCTCTTCCCTGTGTCGCTCCCTCCCATGCACTCCTGCCCCCTGAGCTGTCTCCCTGTGCATACACTGC